TCTGGTGTCTGGTGGGAGCCTGCTTCCTGGTTCATAGACCATCTTCTTGCTATGTCCTCAGACAGTAGAAGGAAGGGGCTAGTAAGCTCTCTCGGCGTATCTTTTAAAAGAGTACTAATCCCATTCATGAAGGCTCTACCCTCATGACCTGCTCACCTCCCAAAGGCCCCGCCTCCTAATACCATCACATTGGGGATTAGGTTTCAACATATGAATTTGTGGGGGATGCAAACATTCAGACCCTAGCACCCCGATACAAAGCAATTCTTCACAGTTACAGAAAGAGAATTTTGGAGTAAGAATGACATGGAGTCCAAGCTTGGCTCTGCCAGTTACCAGCCGTGTGGCCTTCAAGCTGTTCACTTAATATCTCCAAGACTTGGTTCCCTCATCTGTAGAGTAAGTTTACCTACTTGGAAGGATTGACACAAGTGTCTGTGTTCAGTGCAGGTGCTCAGCACATGATCATTTTCTTTTCCTTTCCCTCCTTCACTTGGCACAGCTGACCCCTCTGCTGGGAAGAATCCCCCGCAGGCTTCTCTCAACAAACCTCTCCCTCCAAGACTCACCTTACATGCCACCTCTTCCCCGAAGCCTTCCCAGATCTCCCAAATTGAAAAGCCAACTTCCTCCTGGCATGCCTGCCTTGTTCTTGTCTTATGTTACCTTTACTTTTTAAAAATTTTTCTCTTTTATATTTTTTCATGTTCTCTGCAACTAGTGACCTAATACAAAGATATATTAAGAAAAAAATCAATAATTTCCTCTCTCCCTTTCAACCCCCACCCTACTAAATAACCAACGTTAACCCCTGGTACGTATCATTCTACACCTTTCTGATTATATGCTAACATAAACAGATATTAGTTTATATAAGAGGAGGTTTGTTACCTTTATGGTTTTACACAAATGGATTCCCACTGTATACACTGCTCTGATATTTATTTTTAATTGCTTAATAAATCATGAATGAATGAATAGATATAGATGTACCTCATTCTTTTTAATAGCTGCGTAGTATTCCAAGGCATGGACAAATCATGATTTATTCAACCATACTCCTATAGATCTAATTTTTGCCACCACAAACAAAACAGTGATAAACATATTTGTTCATAAATCCTTTCATAGTAGTACCTTTACTTCTATTGGATAGACTCTCAAAAGTGGGAATATTGGGTCAAGTGGTATCTGTATTTTTTCCTCCCAGTAGACATGGCCATAGTACCTTCCAAAAAGGTCACAGCAGGTCACATTCCAATCAGCAAAGTTTGAGGAGCTATTTTCCTGCATCTTCATCAGCTCTGGCATATTGTTATTCTTCTCAGTATTGGTCAAAATGATGAATGAAAATGGTACAACATCGCTCCTTTGATTGCATCTCCTCTACCCCTACTAAGTTTCAATAACTTTTCATTTTAGTTATTTTATTTTTCATTTCTAGAAGTTCTATTTGGCTTTTTTCAAATCTGCCTGGTCATTTTTGATGATATCTTCTTGCTCTTCATTCCTGTTTTAAATGAACCCTTATATTTATTTAAGCACTTGTGGGGTTTTTGGTTTTATTTTTCAAAGATTGGCACCTGAGCTAACAACTGTTGCCAATCTTTTTTTTTTCTTCTCCCCAAAGCCCCCCAGTACATAGTTGTATATTCTAGTTGTGAGTGCCTCTGATTGTGCTATGTGGGACGCCACCTCAGCATGGCCTGGCAAGCAGTGCCATGTCTGTGCTCACGATTCGAACCACCGAAACTCTGGGCCACAGAAGCAGAATGCATGAACTTCACCACTTGGCCACGGGGCCGGCCCTAAACACTTGTTTTATATTCTGTGTCCAAGAATCGCAATATCTGAGGCACTGGTGGACTAGTTTCTGTTGACTCTTGCTTACAGTACCTTGTTTCCTTTTGTGGTTTGTGACTTTTGATCGTGAGCTTGCATTTGTCAGCCCGATATCTGTGCAGATTCCCTGAGGGTTGGTTTGACCATGTGCTTTCCTCCAGGAAGGGTTTTCATTTTCTTTGTCAGGCATCTGGGGGCACTACCAACCTAAGTCCATTTTAAATTAAATCCCTGGTTGTTGTTGTTATTGTTGACCATGAGAAAAGTATTTGGGCCCCAGATCTATCTGAGCTCTAGCCTGTAGCCAAAAATTCTCAGGGGAGACTTTTCTCAACCCAGAACCAAGGAATGAGACGGGTAAGTTTCCACAGCATTCGCCTTTCAGTAGTGGATTATTTATCATTTATACTTTTATAGTCTCTGTTCTGACATCCTACGACGTTGTGAGTGGCCCAGACTTTGTCTCCTACTCTCTCTCTCTCTCCTTAAAATAAAAGTTCTAGGTCACTCAGGGTTGGAGAGGACCTCAGGGAAGGCCCTGGAGTCAGTGCTGAATCACCTCAGAGCACCTCAGAGCATTTCCTTGACTTTCTTGCCAGCTCAAACATAAAGATATACACATCAATATTCAATATTTTCCATCTCAGTTTTGAGATGCTTTGTAGCAGGAGGTTTTGAGACTATCTAGTCTTCCACATTACTGGAAACAGAGGCCCAGTATGTTTTCCTATGCTCATGTACTCTTTCATTAAAGTTATTTTGCTCATATCTTTAGGACAGAGACATGTCTCTGGCACCTGTGCCCCCAGCCCCCAACCCTTAGCCAAGGTCGGTATCAGGAACGCATGGTTGAATAAATGAAGTGACAACCCACAACCCACTTCGAAGGAGGGAGAAGAAGGGATTGGACAGGTAGCCATGGCTGGATGGAGTGATGCTGGATGGCTAGTGCCAGGGAGTCTGGGGGCACTGACGGTCACTGAGCCCAGGCTAGGAAAGGCCCATAAATGCATCACTCTAGTGTCTCCCAAATTTCCATGATGACAAGATGCTTGTTAAATGTACGGATTCCTAGGTGCTTCCTTGGCGATTTGGTTTTGGTATCGTGAAGTGGGGGCCCAGAATGGTTTAACAAGAGCTTTAGGTGAGTCTTAGCAACAGGAAAGTTTGGGAAACACAACAGATTATCTCACTTAATTTAATTCTCACAAAAATCCAGCGAAGTAAGTACTCGCATGTATTTTACAAAAGAGGCACTTTGGGTTCAGAGAGGGGAAGTGATGATGGTCACACAGCCGGTAAATGGCAGGTCCGGGGATCCATTCCCAGTTATCTCACTCCAAAGCTTTATCTTTTTTCACCAGATACTGATTCATTATTATTATTTTTTCCCAAGTTTCTGAACCATTAGTTTATGACCAAGAGTCATCTTTTTTTTTTATTGTGGTAAAAACCACATTAATTTACATTTTAACCATTCTTAAGTGTACAGTTCAGTAATGTTAAATATATTCACATTGTTGTAAAACAGACCTCTAGATCTTTTTCACCTTGCAAAACTGAAACTCTATATCCATTAAACAATTCCTCTCTTCCCCTGGTAACCACCATTCTACTTTCTGTTTCTATTGACTACTTCAGATACCTCATATAAGCGGAATCATACAGTACTCATCTTTTTGTTACAGGCTTATTTCATTTAACATAATGTCCTTATGGTTCATCCATAATATAACATGTGACAGGATTTCCTTCCTTTTTAAGGCTGAATAATATTTCATTGTACGTATATACCACATTTTGTTTATCCATTCATCCATTGATGGACATTTGGGTTGCTTCCACCCCTTGGCTATTGTGAATAATGCTACTATGAAAATGGATCTGCAAATACATCTTTGAGATCCTGCTTTTAATTCTTTTGGATATATATGCAGAAGTGGAATTGCTGGATCATACAGTAGTTCTATTTTTAATTTTTTTACTAACCTCCATAGTATTTTCCATGGCAGTTGTGTTGTCAGTTTTTTTAGATTTTATTCTTCAGAACAGTTTTAGATTTACAGAGAAATTGAGAAAATAGTACAGAGTTGCCACATACCCCACCCTCAGTGTCTCTTATTCTTATCACATCACATTAGTATGGTACATTTGTTACAATTAATGAATCAATATTGATACCCAATTATTAACTAAAGTCAACAGCTTATTCATATTTCCTTAGTTTTCACCTAATGTCCACTTCCTGTTCCAGGATCCCACATTAAATTACATTCAGTTGTCATGTCCCTTTAAGCTACTCTTGGCTGTGAGAGTTTCTCAGATTTTCCGTGTTTTTGATGACGTTGACAGTTTACTGGTCAGGTATATTGTAGGATGCCCCCTACTGGAATTTGATGTTTTCCTCAAGATTAGACTGGGGTTATGGGACATGGGGAGGAAGAACACGGAGGTAAAGCACCATTTTCATCACATCACATCAAGGGTACACACTATCATCATGATTTTATGACTCTTGATGTTGACCTTGATCACCTGGCTGAAGAAGACCGTCAGTTTCTCCACCATGAAGTTGTTCTTCTTTCCCCCCCTTTCCATACTGTCCTCTTTGGAAGAAAGTCACTAAGCACAGCCGGTAGTTTGGGAATGGAGAGTTATGCTTGCCTTCTTTAGGGTTATGTTTTTTTTTTTTTAAAAGATTTTATTTTTTCCTTTTTCTCCCCAAAGCCCCCCCCGCCCCCCCCCGGTACATAGTTGTGTATTCCTCGTTGTGGGTTCTTCTAGTTGTGGCATGTGGGACGCTGCCTCAGCGTGGTCTGATGAGCAGTGCCGTGTCCGCGCCCAGGATTCGGGCTAACGAAACACTGGGCCGCCTGCAGCGGAGCGGGCGAACTTAACCACTCGGCCACGGGGCCAGCCCCTAGGGTTATGTTTTAACAAGCAAAATAACCCACTCAACAGGCATCGAGCGCTTTTCATCACTGGTCATGCTTTGCACTTTTAACAGCTGATCGGAGCTGTATAAATAGTCCACATCTGCTGTCTCCTGGATCCTCACTCTTCTCATCTGTAAAATAGGTGTTGCTGATCCTTCACTTTCAGGACTGTAGCCAGTAGAAACTCTTGTCGTCAGTGTCTGTTCCCTCCCCCATTTGGCTGTCGGGGAACTCCGGGGCGAGAAGGGAGCACGGACTAGCCTAGGGTCTCACCGCAAGCCCGCCGACTCCAGGCCAGTCCGGGCTCTAACCACACCCTGGGCCCAGCCGCCCCACCCCGGGGCGGGGAGCTAGGTGCACTTCCGCCCGCCCCAAGTACCTGCATGTGGCGGGCTTGGGCGGGACGCGTCAGCGGCGACGGGCTGCACAGTGCCAGCTGCCTGTGGGACCAGACGATGAACCTGACCGCGGCGTCCCGCTCTGTGCGGCCAGCCAGGGCCGTGTCCCCTGCGGGCCCGCCGGGGGTGAGTGCACAGCCCGGGACGCACGGGGGCCCACCCCGGCCCCCGCGCCTCGTCCTCCTTCAAGGGTCCCTTGTCCGCTCCTTGCCCTGCTCTGACTCCCTGCGTCTGGCGCGCAGTCTCCGCCTCTGGCCGGGCTCTCTCTTTCTCCTTGGCTGTTCCTGCCGTTTTGATCTCTCTCCTTCCGCGCCACCATCTCCAGTCCGGCTCAGTGCAGCCTCTCCTCTTTGGCCTCTTTCCTGCCTGGCTGCCTTTGTTTGTCTCCTTCCTCTCTTCTCGGTCTTTGTTTTAGCTGTCCTCTTTGTGCTTCCTCGCTTGGTCCCCTGTCCTGTCCGCTCTTCCGCCGTCCCTCCCCCTCCTCTGCCCCCACCCTGTCTCCTGGCGGTGGGAGAGGCAGCCCCAACTAAAGGCTGGCCGGAGTATCATTCCCTCACGCCGCAAACCCCTACCCTTTCCTGCCTGCCCCAGCCCTCTGGTTGGGTCCTGAATCCGCCTGCCCACTCCCAGGGCTTGGGTGAAAGGAGTTTGAGGGCAGGACCAGGCAAAGGCTCAGAGCACTCTAGGAGCAGAACATTCTAACCTCTCCTGGCTAGGTGCTATCCTGAAGACTTGTAGGAAAGGAAAGCAGATCCAGTAGTGCGGGACTGTGGCTCTTTCCAATAGGGCAATGATAACGTCATTGTTGCTGGCAATTGACAGAGTCACCTGCTCAGAGGCAGGGCTGCCCTAGGTGCTCAGTAAATGTCTGAAGGCATTACTGGGCAAGGAGGGAGCCAAGAGGGTGCCTGATGCCAAGTAGAGCAAGACTGGCCCTCATCAGAATACCAGGCACTCCTGTAAATCAGTGTTGTGGGTAAGCTCCAGCTGATTCAACAGAACCTTATTGAGCATCCTTGCTGTGCTAAGCCCTGTAGTAGGTACTGGTGACATAGAGATGAATCAGGGATAGTTTTCCCTTAGGAACCTCACAGTCTAATGGGGGATACAGATGAACAAACAGAATTACAAGAGAGGTAACCACCATGACAGTGGAAGCACAGGGCCCTCTGGGATCACGAGGAGACAACCCATCCAGAAACATTCCTGGAGGAATTAACTGGAAGGATGAGTGGGCAAAGTGAAGGGAGTGGGGCGGTAAGTGAGTGAAGTCCTGGAGGCATGGGGGCCCAGCCTGACCTAGATGGTGGGGGTGGGGGAATGGGAGGCAGGGTTCTGGTAGTTGATTGCTAGGGTTGCAAAGGGCCTTGTAAACCTTGTTAAGGAGTCTAGAGTTTATCTGGAAGGAAATGTAGGGTCACTGAAGTGTTTAATGCAGGGAGTGACCAGATCAGATTTGCACTTCAGAAAAACTGCTCTGGTTTCAGTGTAAAGATAGGATTGGGGGAGGGCACTCAAGAGGGCAGGGAGCCACGGAACTAACCAGGCATTTAGAATTGCCAGGACTTGGTGATTAGTGACCTGGGTTGGGGGAGGTTGAGGACAGGAGTAGAATGCAAGATTACAGCCCGGGTTTCTGGCTCAGACGACTGAGATAGGGAACAAAGGAAAAGGTCAGGGTTCTGGAGTGGGGAGAGATCTTTAGGGGCCTAGAGGACATATGAATGGAGATGTCTCTCCATTGACCCGACTAAAGGTGACCAAAAGAAAGGTATGAATGTTTGGCATGGGAGTTGCAGATGTGTAGGGACCCTTTAGACTGGAACTGGGTGAGAGCTGGCCTGTCTGATTCATCCTTGTGTCCTCGTGGCCAGCACTGGCCTGGCACCCAGCAGGGGCTCCTAGAGACCACGTTTCCCCAACCTATGAACACAGGGTGTGGGACAGGCTTTCCCATCCAGGAATGCTTTGGCAGGGTGACTGGTAGAAAAGCTGGGGAAGAGGAGCCACCAGGAAGGGCAGGTGGTTCGGAAGAGGGGTAGAAGAGAAGTCTTTATCTACTAGAAATACATAGTGTAGTATTCATGGATGCTGTAGGAGGTCTGATTCCCAAAGAGATTGGGAGTTTTGGGAAAAAAGGAGGGGGGGAAAAGCGGGACAGAATTAAGAAGCTTGGGAACAGGGCCAAGGTCTTATTTGATAAAGAAATGGGGTTGAGGATGTCAGGGCTGGAAGCTATTTTGGGAATTATCTGGAAATGAGCTTCAGAAATGGCACTTGAAGTGCCTGGATTCATTAGGCTTTCAGAGCTGGAGAAACTTAGAGTTCTCTTTGTCCATTTTGCCTCCCTATTTCATAGATGACTAAGCTTAGGCCCAGAGAAGGAAGTGAGCTGCCCCAGACACATCGCTAATTACTGGCGCAGTGGGACTGGACGTTGAGAGGGGTAGGGCACCCATGCTGTGCTGGAGTCAGACTGATAGGGGTTTGATCCCAGCTCCAACTTCATCACTTCTGAGTTATGTGTCCCTTCTTTCTGAGCTTTCCTCACCTGTAATGTGGGGAGATTAAGAGCGCCTGTGAGCTCTCAGTGGTACAGGAGTGATGAGAGCACATCGATCCATTCAAGGATTAAAGTCTGCAGCTTTGCATTTAACTGCCTGCTTTACAGGGCCACCTTGGGGTTAACCAAACAGCCCTGCAAAGGGGCTTTGAGGTTTGTGGGAGAGAGAGGGAATCATAGGTTCTGGGATTATTTTTCTCCTGGCTGTATTGTTTGGCTGCTGTCAGAATGCATCCTCTTGTCTCCCTTCTTCACTCCAGCCTGTAAAACTATCCCCTGGTAGGAGCTGTTGCCATGGCAACTCAGTTCTCCCCAGCAGTTTGGCTGCCTTTGGCTCTGTTCATTCCAGTACTTTAATCTTAGAGGTAGAGCCCACAGACAAGCTGAGAATGAGGTCACACCTAAATCAGACTGAAGGGTAGTCCTGAGCCCTGGCCCTGCAATGACCTTTGATAAAGTCTCCAGGTTGAAAATGCAGCCTTCTCTCTAACACTGCATAGATCTTTGCTGCTGCTGCAGCTATCACACCCCCTAGGAAACCTTCTCTGGCAACCTCCAACACATCCACAAAAGAGCCGACCCCTCTTCCTTTGAGTTTTCCCTCTCAGCACCTACATCTTGCAGCCATCTGTTTCCCTCTCTCCCCTGTGAGCTCCTGGAGGGCAAAGACTGTGTCCTATTCGTCTGCTTAGGAGGGGGCTTGAATGAAATAGGCCCCTCTACATTTGGTTGAATTAATGAGTAACTAAGGGAATGAAGAATGGAGGTATTTGAAGATTGAAAACTAATTTATGTGATGACTCAGAGGGCAAGCTTCGGGGTAAATTGCACCTGAGTTCAAATACTGATACCATCACTTAATAGCTGGTCAATCTGGGGCAACTTCAGCTCCTTAAGCCTTAGTTTCTTCATCTGTAAAATGGGGATTTAATGCATTCTTCAAAAGGATTGCTGTGAGGATTGAGTTAGAGACTGTATGTACAGAGCTTTGCACAAGTGCTAGACTGTGAGAGGAGGGACTGTGTCCTGCTTGTTCCTCACTGTGCACCAGGGACCTGGCACAAAGTAGGCACATACACATTTTATTGAATGAGTGAATTTTAAATAGTGAAAATTGTCTAGGAAGCTGGTTTCTAAGGATAACATCTGGGGTCTCAGCTCATATGTAATGATCGCTAGATGGTCTGCTGGTATTTTTGGCAGCACTTAGTGACTGCAGCCCAACTCTCGGTCTGTTTCCACATCCCTCCCCACACTGGCCTGTGGGCCTCTGCAGGCAGGCACCACATGGGTGTCACCCACATCCTTGGTGCTCAGCCCAAGGTCCAGCATAGAGAAGAGGCCTCTAAAAATTCTGTTGAACAGCTACACCTAACTTACATTGGCACCGCACTTTACAGTTTATGAGGCAGTTTTATATCCATTGTATCTGGTGTTATTGGCCTTTTCACCACCAAGGATATTCCTGTTATTTAATCCCCATAGGCCCATATTTTGAAAAACATCCATCAAACAAATTCCATTTGTTAATTAATCAAAGTCATGCCAATTGCTAATCAGAACTCCTGATCTCTATGAAATAAGAATTTGTATCCCCAACTTCCAGCACAGGATGTTGACACACGGTAAGTAGCCAAGAAATGCTTCCTGAATGAATTTAGCCTTTCTGAAAGGTTGAGAAAGGTTTGCCCCCTACCCCCACCCTTTTTTTTTTTTAAGCTGTATCTTAGATCTTAGATCTGAGCATCCCACTATTGGGAAATTCTAACTTCACAACACCTCCATATACCCTTTTTATAAATGAGGAAACTGAAGCTCAGGGAGGGGAAAAGCCTTGCCAAAGGCCACAGAGTTTGGAGTTTGGGAGTATTCTTGCTGAGAATTGCTTCCACAGCAGCCCCCTCTACTAATATTCTGTGACTTAAACAAGACCGTTAAAATGCTTGAATGGGTATTCTTATATCAAACTGAAATCTTTTTTTCCTTAAAATGCGCACACTCTGGAGCTCTACAGCATAAATATAACCCCCTTGCTAAGATGGGCCCTCCAATAGCTGAAGCCAGTCATCACGCCTCCCCTAGATTCCGTGCTGGGTTGTTCTTTGGATGAAAAGGTCATGAGCTCCCTGGAGGTGGCACTGTTGATTCACTCTGCCTCTTGTGCCCTCAGCTATCTCCCGTCGTAGAGCTGAACGTGGGGGGCGAGTTCTACACCACCACCGTGGGCACCCTGAGAAAACTCCCAGGTTCAAAGCTGGCAGAGATGTTCTCCAGCTCAGCCAAGGCCTGCATAGATGCGGAGGGCCGCTTCTTCATCGATCGCCCCGGCACCTATTTCGGACCCATCCTGGACTACCTGCGCAGCGGGCAGCTGCCCACGCAGCACATCTTCGAGGTGTACCGTGAAGCTCAGTTCTATGAAATCAAGCCTTTGGTCAAGCTCCTGGAGGACACGCCACAGATCTTCGGTGAGCAGGTGGCTCGGAAGCAGTTCTTGCTGCGGGTGCCAGGCTACAGCGAGAACCTGGAGCTCATGGTGCGCCTGGCGCGGGCCGAGGCTGTGGCGGCGCGCAGCTCCGGAGTGCTGGTGTGCGTGGTACCCACGGAAGAGAACGCCGCATTTTGCGCGGATGCCCTCCGCGTCCTGGAGGCGGACAAGAGGTCGGTCATCAAGTTCGGGCCTTGGAAGGCGGCTCCGGACGTCAAGGACCTCCTGGACTGTGTGAAGATGGACATTATGGCCCAGGGGTACCAGGTGGACTATAAAAGCCATAATGAGAAGGCATTTTCATTTGCTCACTCCGATTACTTCTACACATTCCTCTTCACCTGGTGGTGATCCCCGGGGGCAGGGGCTGTGTGTTATGGGCTCTGTTGGGGCTTACGAAATTAAAAGTTGCCTTGAAAAGCCATCTTCCTTTAATTTCAAAAACAAACATCAAACAGCTTCCGAGGTGGTCTACCGAGGCTTGCCCCCAGATATTTATCTCCCCCTTGAGGACTTTCCAGTCATTGCACCTGACTCCACTGTGCTTGCCTAGTGAGGTGCGGCTGCTCCCTGTTTAAGGCCTCATGTACCTGCCAGACCCTTCCGTCAAAGTCCGATGGCAAGGCTGAGATGAACTGGAATAGTTCAACAATGCTTTGGCTGGGGATGCAGGATGACAACAGGAAAAGAACAGGATATCATGAATCTAGATAGTCTGACCTAAAAATGTAGCCTACCCAGCTTCAGCTTGTGGTCCAATCCTCTAACCCTGGTGTGTGCTTCATGAGGAATATGCCAGGTTAGTACCTATACTAGATGCTGCTCAGATCTCCTCTCCCAGGTGCTGTGAGTGTTGGCTGCTAGAGCCTCACAGCTGTCACCTTCTCTAGAGCAGTGGTCCTCAAGGTGTGGTCCCTGGACCAGCAGCATCAGCAACACCTGAGAACTTGTTAGTAATACAAATTCTCTGGCCTCCACCTCAGACCTACTGAATCAGAAACTCTGGGGGTTGGCCTGGCAGTCTGTTTTAACAAGTCCTTCCTGTGATCCTGATGCACTCTAATTTTGAGACCAGCTCTAGAAAAAAAATTGCCATCTTGCTTGTGTAGAGGTACGGAAGACTGACCCCTTACTGCAAGGAGGAACCAACTCGGTTCCAGAGCTCCTTGTGGGATCCGGCTGAAGCCAGTCTTCATCTGACACCACAATCTTGGTTAGGATTCCTCCTCTGCTCTAGCCTGCTTCCCTGACTTCCCTTGCCTGAGGGCCCATCCTCAATAAACCGCTTACACAGGAGATCCTGTTTCAGGTTCTGCTTCACAACCTAAGACATTCTGTAACTCTAAGGAGGACACATGTAGACATTCATCCTTCTCCAAGTCCGTGTCTGGGAAAGGTGACCCCCTTCCCTGCCTAGTAGGGTGAGCAGCCATCCTGGGTTCCCCGGGACTGAAGGTCCATTTAACTGTTAAGCTTTAAGGAATTAATGCTGACTCAGGGAGTTTCAAACTTAAACATAAAATTGCTCAGAACATAGTCATTTTTCAACAAGCATTATAATTCAGTAACCGCATCTGCTTGTATATTTTTTCTTATTTTCAAAGCTTGTTCTATTTTCCTTTTTTGGTATTTAATGTGGCTGGCAATTTAAAGTGGAAAAATCTCGAATGTCTATTTGAACTTTTTATCACGAAGCAATTCAACATTATCAAGGGCATGGAAAAAAAGTTCATACCTTTTGATCAATAATTACACTTAGGAGATTAGATTTCAAGGAGACAGCTCCTTGAGATCTAAATAGGATTGCTTAAAATTTCAGTTTCTTGAATTATGGAAAGGTCAGTGTCGTCCCCGATATTTCTGCACATTCCCAGAGGGCCTGCCCTCTGTGGTCAGCTCTGGGTTTCTGCTCCTGCTGGATTCATTCAGCATAGGGATCATGTAGCTATCTGGAACCTGTTGTTTCTGGTATACAAAATCTCACCCAGATTTAATGCTCAGATCTTTTTCTTAATTTTTGCAAATAACATTCCCATGAGCTATTTCTCACATAGCAGACTGGAAAATACAGGCTAATTAACGGGAGGGAGTTTACAACACAAGTGAAAATAACTTCAAATTGAATATTGGACATATCTATTCTTAAAAGTGTGTCAGTAACCCCCATCACTAGGGCTTTTCATTGGTAGATTGTATTTGTTCCTATTCTTTCTTCCCCCTCTGTTCTTGCCATGTTTCTCTGTAGTTGGGAATAATCTTTCCCACTCCACTGATGGGGGTTGGCCTCATGACTTAATCTGGCCAATGGAGTATGTGTGGAAGTGACAGTGTGCCAGTTCCAAACTGAAGCTTTAGAGGCATGCCAAGTTTCCACCAACCCTCTTGTGTTCTTGTCATTTGCCAGGAGAAGACGATGTTTCAGTTTAGCTCTTTCGTTGCTTTGGCTCTAGCCTGCGTCCTTTAGGAGCTGACTCTTCCTAAGCAATTTACCAAACTATTTTATTGAACAAAGGCAATTCCAATATCTACCCCCAACTTCCAATCCATAATACACTTAAGATAACATACTACTTTTTTCTTTTTTTTTTGTTTTTTGAAAATTGGCACCTGAGCTAACATATGTTGCCAATCTTCTTTTTTTCTTCTTTCCCCCAACAAAGCCCTGTGGTACATGGTTGTATATTCTAGTTGTAGCTCCTTCTGGTTGTGCTATGTGGGGCGGCACCCCAGCATGGCCTGATGAGCGGTGCCATGTCCGCGCCCAGGATCCAAACCCATGAAACCCTGGGCTGCCAAAGTGGAGTGCATGAACTTAACCACTTGGCCACAGGGCTGGCCCAAATAACGTACGACTTTTTATCCCACTTAAGATAGCAAAACAATTGGAAATCAGTCACGTTAGTTATGGTACATGTATATAATGCCATGTTATGCAGCAATTAAAATTACATTTATAGAGGGCTTAAAATTATTGGGGAGGAGAATGCTCCTTTAATTCAATGCAATTTAATTAAATCTTTGCTTCAAAAAGGACTTAAGATGGTGAGGCTTACAAGGCTATGAAAAAAAGACATATCCAAAAAGATGTAAATTAGAAATACAGAAATCAAGTGGACATTCTTGGTTGCCTATCCAATATACTATCTCTTCCCTTACTTTTTCCTAACAGAAAAGGCAAAATAGTAAGGCATATACATAATGTTCAAAATACTATATCTGTACCATTGTGGGGGCATATAAGACTTTTCAGAACTGTTGAGATTTACTAAAGAAAATTATAGAGTCACAGGAGGAAAACTTAAAATGGAATGCTAAATATAACCGTCATTATAATCCAAAGGAAAAACACAAAGAGTAAAACCTTTGAGATTGCCCTCATGGAGACACCCTAGTTTATAGCACTCTGCCAGTTTTCAGGTCTACATAATTCTCCTAGAGTAACTTTTTTTTTTAATTCTCTACTTATTTTCCCCGTCCTTCCCCACCCCCCTCCCCAAACATTCTCTTCTCTTTTCTGCTGTGCTCAGTGTCCTGGAAGGCCGATCCCTAGGTACTGCAGGCCCAGTCCCTTTCCTGATTGGCTAAAGACTTGGAAAGTACAAGAGTGAAAGACTGGTGACAAGAAGGCCTGGGCAGTTGGCATGTAGCTGGACCTCTTGGAAGGCTGAAAATATTTGTGTTTCTTATGAATGCCCACCAGAGGGCATCCATTCTAGAAGAGGCTCTCAAAAAATAAATGGGCACAATGATCCAACCTGTAGATGTCAGTCAGCGTCTTTCCCCATTGCTTGCTCAATGGAGTCATGAAAAAGGTGGCCATGATGGCAGGGATGGAGGCTATGCACGGCCTCTACAGTACAGACTTCCTCTCACCAGAGCTGATCTGGCCACTGAAGGATGTCCAAGAGTAGAGACCGACACTAAGCATTTGATATGGTATTATTGCCGGGGGGGGGGGGGGGGGGGGCGGGGACTAGACGCTTCTTAGTGGTAGGCTGATTGCACTGCAGATCAGTTAGCTATACTGTTCTGTAACAAACTGTTGGGAGAAATGCTGGCGTTTCTAAGCAAATGGCATTGACAGCTTTGTTTCAGGATGTTTGCAAAGCTGCTTCGGGGTAGGAAGTAGATTTACTTACATTACAGGGTAATAAAGCTTGAGACATTTCAGGGTGGTAAAAAATGTCTCCCACTGGGTTGGAAGGCAGATTTGTTTCCTAACTGGTATAATAAAGATAAAGTCTCTCTCCAGAGGGTAGGGTTGTTAGCGTTCTTCTTTTAAGATCGAGGGTTTCCTAAAGTCAGTGTTCTTCATCTGTGTTGCAGATCTATTGTGTGCATGGCATTCACCGGCATCACCTGCGATGCGCTTTTGGGGGGTGGGGGGCAGGAGAACCAATACAAACATGAAGTTCCTGCCACCTGCTATGCTGTGAATAGTAAACTGTCTAAATCCATTTTGGGTTGTCTCCTTACCAGCTGAATCCATGGAAGTGTGGCAAGTCACCCTAGTAGCTGAGGGACTGTCTGACTACATGACAACACCCTGATCCTAAAACTTAATTAACCATTAATTATTTCTTATAAACTTATAGATTGGGCAGTTCTTCTGGTCTTAGCTGGGCTCACTCATGCATCTGTAGTCACATGGTGGATCAGCCTAAGCTGTCCTCAGTTGGGTCAACCTAGCTTTGTTCCATGTGGTCACTCACTCTTCAGCAGACTAGGTTGGACTTATTCTCGTGGCAATGGTAGGATTCCAAAATCAAGCAACAGGCCTTGGGAACTGGTATGTGGATAGACATTGAGGCCCAGGCTCAAAACTAGCACACTGTCACTTCTGCTACATTCTTCTGGCAAGGCACAAGGCTAGCCCAATTCAAAGGGTGGGGATATAGCTCACATATCTCTTGTCTGTTTTTTTGCTGAGGAAGATTTTCCCTGAGCTAACATCCATGCCAATCTTCCTCTATTTCTTTTCTTCAGTATGTGGGCCATGAGCACAGCATGGCAGCTAACAGAGTGATGTAGGTCCATGCCCAGGAACTGAACCTGGGCTGCCGAAGTGGAGCATGCCAAACTTAACCACTAGGCCACCGGTGCTGGCCCTACATTACATCTCTTACAGGAAGTAACTTCAAAGCTACATTTCGAGGAGAGGAGAGGAGAATTGGGGCCATGTTTGCAATCATTCTACTGCACACTGGATCCTTCCGTCAGGGAGGGAGTGGTGATTTATCCTTACAGGAATAGATACATATTCCAGATTCAGATTTGACTTTCTTACTTCTTTAGACTGAATCTTTGCATCCCCCCCCCCTCAATTCCTTTGTTAAAATCCTAACCCTCAATGTGATGGTATTAGGAGGTGGGGCCTTTGGGGGGTGATTAGGTCATGAGGGTGAAGCCTTCGTGAAAGGGGTT